ATGACTATAGCAAGAATCAGGATTTTAAATAAGCGTCTAATTTTGTTAAAGGCAAATTCTACAAATCTCCGAATCGACCTATCAAAATAATTTAAATTCTAATACTGTATTTATATTACCGATTAGGGAAAAGGATTTAACATCAGGTATTATCATAATTAATTTATTAAAATTTTATTGTCAATATATTTGTAATCCAAAACCTATAAATTAATCTTAGATATCAACGAAAGAACGCATAATTCAGAAATTTCGAAAATAGAATATGAATTGAGAAAAATATTGATTGATTATAAGGATCAGTTATCATGGATTTCTTATGATGAATTTGGAGATATTAAGGTGATAGGTAAAGGTGGATTTGCAACTGTATATTATGCTAAATTACATGAAAAAGCGCCTCCAATTTAGACAGGAATGTTGCGCTCAAATTGCTTCATGAATCAAGCAAGTATCATGAAAAATTTATAATAGAGGTAATCTTTATTAAAGAGTTTTATTTGTTACAGTATAATATTCTTTAATTTATCATTATATTAACAATTTGAACGTATATTACTTTTCAAAATAATAAGTTAAAAGCATATTGTGATATAGGTCTTAAAAATCCAACTTTTTTAAAATGTTTTGGTATATCAAAAGATAAAACTTCCGAAGATTATATCCTTATCATGTATTATGCTTCAAAAGGATGTTTACGCAATAATCTACATACTATAGCAAAAATGGATTGGAAAGATAAATTAAATCTGCTACAATGTATTGCATTAGATCTTCAGATAATTCATTCTCATGATCTTATTCACCGGGATTTACATAGTGGAAATATACTACAAGATAACTTGAAGAGTGCTTATATTGCAGACTTAGGACTTTCAATCACAGCCAATATTGCATTAAAATCAAAATTTGATGGAATTTATGGAATTTTACCATATATTGCTCCTGAAGTTTTCAAAAACCAACCATATACTAAAAAATCAGATATTTATTCATTTGGAATAATCATGTGGGAAATTTTATACGGTAAACCTGTGCCTTTTGAACAGAACTCTGAATTACAATATCAATTGCAAGTTTGTAAAGGCTTGCGACCACATATATATGAAAATTCTCCAATATGCTATACAGATTTAATGAAGAAATGTTGGAATGTGGAACCAGAAAAACGACCAACAGCAAAAGAAATTTATGATATTTTTGCAGAATGGCAGAATAGCGAAATTATTATATCGGAATTATCTGAATATGATAAATACCTACAAATTATCAAAAATATAGATACACCAATTGATTCACATTATAAAAGTAGCTTTATTTCATTTAGTAGTAGTTATAAATATCAAGGTAATTATAATCTATTTTTTTTGCCAATAAATCATAACTTGTTATTACATTGATTATTAATATTTTTATAGATAGCATATTATGTGAAATGAAAATACCGGATATAGTTAATTAATAAATGCAATCTTCCCAAGTTTGAAGCAGGAAGTACTAATAAGAATGTAGATTATTACCGAGAATTGTAGATTCGGTTTCACTTGATAGATTAAAGCTTGAATTTTCCATTCATATCGATATTGTTTCTTTATACCCTGTATTAACGTTTAATAAATTTTGAAGACAATTTTCAAATATTCGACATTCAGAATTTATTATAGATCATCGTATTAATACTATTCCAATATAATAAAAAGTGTTAGTTAAATAATATTGTGTCATGCAATATCCCTTTCGGTTTACTTCTATAAAAACTTCATTTGTATTTGTTATCCTCAGGTTAATTGATGCTAATAGAGACCGTTAGGACATTAAGAAGTAAATAACAGCTAATAAACCACAATTAGTCCGAAACTGAAAAAATTGATATGCTCTAATTCTCAAGATAAGACCGATCTGGGCTTAGTCTTAAGACTAGAGAACATAATAACCAGGCAATGACTAGACTAAAATAGACCAGACAGGACCGGACAAGATTGCTAGTGCCCCTAAAATTGTTATCATGATTATTATGATTATTTTTTTTGTGCGGATCTTATTCAGGTGAAAACTAAAAAGTTTAACTAGAAATCTGTTCTCAAACAATTTTCGGGGGGTTTAAATACAAAACAAATAAAAAGTGCAAAACTAATGAATCTGATAGAAAAAATAAAATTAATGAATATACAGTAAAACCTCCATAAGTGCACCCTCTATAAGTACACATCCTTTCTAAATGCGCGCTCAAGTTCTGGCTCAAATATATACAGTATATATGCCCCCTATAAATGCACTTTCTCTTATTGATCTCTAAGTGCACGTTGTTAAAGCTTGGTTCCAAGTGCGTGCACTTATAGAGGTTTTACTGTATCATGATAAAGCTATATGAAATTAAGCCAACCCAAAAATTTAAAATTTGGATACCTAACTACAACCTCCATAAATGCACCCTCTATAAGTGCACACCCTCTCTAAATGCACGCTCAAGTTCTAGCCCAAATATATATATGCCCCCTATAAATGCGCTTTCTCTTGTTGATCTCTAAGTGCACGTTGTTAAAGCTTGGTCCCAAGTGCTGCACTTATAAAGGTTTTACTGTATACATATATTAATCAATAGGTGATAACATTAGGAAGTTTTAAAATCAATAATCAACTCGTTTAATTTAAAAAGAATAAATAACGAACCTTTAAAGATAATCATTACAATATACAACTAGATATTTAACTACTTAGTTAAATAACATGTTGTGTAATGTATATTAATATTTTATACATTGCAATGCTTAACGAAGCCTCCGTTTTTCAATACTTTTTTTAGACTGGTTAATCATCTAGATTTATTATTTTTTTATAACTTCGTGATAAAACTTGCAAAATGTTTGAACCTTTGATCTATATACAGTAAAACCTCTATAAGTGCACGCACTTGGGACCAAGCTTTAACAACGTGCACTTAGAGATAAATAAGAGAAGGTGCATTTATAGGGGGCATATATATATTTGGGGTGTGCACTTATAGAGGACGCACTTATGGAGGGTGCACTTATGGAGGGTGCACTTATGGAGGTTTACTGTAGATAAAACTTCTACCTCATCTTGACGCGATATTTTAAATATGCCGCGATAAAAGAAGTAGGCAAAAATATAAAAAAAAAAAACTCATGAAAAAAATGAGTGATAAAATATGTTCTTAAGTATGTAGCTGATTATTTTCAAAATGCCCATTATTGGTTTTTCAATGGTGTTCATATAAAATGATAAACTGCTATGGTTGTAATAGAATTTGGAACCGGTTTATTTTTCATATGCTAAAACCTATTCTAAACTCTAATTGATAACTATAGTTTTTTATTTTTTGATTTTAACCAGGTTACATCTTTCAATCTTAAGTTATACCTTTTGTCAGAAGGTCTTGGTTACTAACAAAATATATATGGACTATATTATAATTAGGCATCTTTTTTAGATGCATGTTTTTTAAGAATAGCATCATTCCAGAAACTTTCGTCATTGACGAATGGCAACACGTCAAAACTTCTTATGATTAATAAAACATATGACTTAGTTATTTTTCTTAATTTTTGTTTGCATACTATATATACATTTTTTCCCGTCACATCCTACATTATCCGATTAAATAAGATTACCGACTTCAGATTCCATGTAATGTAAAACTAAAAATTACTTGAGTATGAGTTTGTTAATTTTCTGTGACATAACATTCTTAATAAAGAACTAAAAAAATTCGTTATCAATTAAGAATTATTATGCTACATATGTACGCAAAACTTTATAATGAAATAAAAAAAAAATTCAAGATTCAACATAATCAGAGGTCTTCATAAAGAACCTCGTTGAAAAAGGGCCAACTGTATTTTGATATTTCATTGGTCAAATCGATTCGTCAATACTGCAATCTGGTTCATTAATCGTCAAAAAGGTATAAAGGTTTCATCAGATAAAATACATTGACGAAACCATTTTGTAATTGTAAAAATAGTTTCATCACTAAATATGATTGCCTATTTTTCAACCAGAGGAAATTAAAGACTGGATGAGATCCGTTTAATATAACAAGCATATTTCTCATATATTCATTTTCATTACAAAAAATAAGCCTGATCGAGCAATAATAACAATTTTGAACTAAGCAAAATACTGTATAAGCGCGAAATAACGCCAACCTGCGCGTTAATTATTTAACTTGTGCGTAATTTTGACATAACCGTGTGCATTATTTTCAAATTAAGGTAGATTTTCTGAATCATTTGCCGTTGCAATAAATTATACGCTACATTGGAAGCAAGTTAATTCGGTAATCCGAGATCACGTAGGCTATTTTTGAAGGATTCGGTTTTTAAAATAGCGGTTTTTTTTTTCGTGCTTTTATACTATGACACGAATCTTCTTGAACAATCACAATAAACATAATAAAGCTACATTGCTGCAGATTGGTGAATTTTTTTAGTACCATTAATGACAAAGCAAACGAGTTAAAAATAAATAATAAATGACAATATATAAAATATGCACGTGAAGTATCATGCCTCTAAATCGTAACAAAGCTGATAGGCCTACATCGCCAAAATACTAGTACGGAAGATAGATTAGAGTTGAATATATTCAAAACTGACAAACAGGCAACATTAGTTAATGCCGACCAATCTATCGAATAAGACAGATACAACAGATGCTATGACTAATACCTTTTTTTTTGTTGCCTAATGAGAAGGTTATTGTGTTCTTTGCGTCAGATCGTCCACTTAATAAAAAAGGGGTTTCTAAACTACAGTATGACTTAAACATGCATGTATCTTAAATTCGAAATTTAAAATTTAAATAAATAATTGATAGCAATAATTCGATAGAGTTACTAGGGCGAAAGCTTTATTATAAGAAATAAGAACTTGAATTCATTATTAAAAACTAAAAATTATTTATAAAACGTATATACAGCATAATAAATGTTTTGATAACCGATACTAATTTCATAATACTAATTTGTTATAAACATTTTAGAAACTAACCCAATTTAAATATTCCCAGTTACAAGAGGGTGGTTGATAATTATTAGGTGCATAAATTACTAAATCAACATTTTCATTAACTTTCTTCTTAAAGATTTCAGCCGCGCTATCTAGTCCCTGAACCATTACCTTCAAATTCTCAATATCTTCAAGAGAAACCAGCTTTCGTCTTTGTAAATGAGCCCATTCGTCGCAATACCAAATTAGTACTTGTCGATACTGATTAAATTCAAACAAAAGATAATTGATCTGATTACGAATGTTAGGAACTTTTTCCATAATTCGTTTCAGATAACCAAGATCACGTGTTATTCGTTCAGTATCATATATTTGATTCATGATCGGAGCAATATTGTTAAAAAAAGCCTCTACGTCATTTATTCCATTCTCTAATTGATGCCTCGTTCCACTATAAATAGTAGAAAGCACATCAATTTCATTCATAACTTTTTGAAATTGATCTCGTAATCTAGTGACAACATTTAAAATCCTTCTATAACGTTTCTCAAAATATAGTTCATTTTTTCGCGTAAGAATTTGATCTGGTTGAATCTTTTCGATAATGAAAGTTAATTCCATCCCAAGTTCTCTAAGACCAGATTCTCCAGTAGGATACATTTTTTCGACTGTTTCACCTAATTTGAATGTTTGATCACTAAACTCGTTGAGATATCGTACCACTTCGGCTGAATCGTTAAATAATAGTTGGTTTCGGGTTACTTTATTGGCAAGAGATCGACTCGTGAAACTACATTTTATAATTGCAGATGATGCTAATTTGATACATATAAGATCGTTAAAATTTTGCTTTAATGATCAATATTTCAGACATTACTTTATAATTAAAATTAATATACCATACCCGTAATACTAAGTCCAGAGAGTTGTCCGGAAAGCAAATTAATGATTTTTACGAGATTTCTAAAGATGGACGAGTCAACGGCCTGTTATATGGCAATAATTTATGAAAGTTAAGATGTACACTGAAGGATTCAAAACGGTGAGTCATAAAAAAAAATAACTGCTTGCCGGCATGAGATATTTGCTTGAAGACATATTTGACATGTCAACCTCGTAATACAATACAATAATTGCTATGATGGTGATCATAACACTAAAGGTTCGCAAAGAAAAGATCGATTGGGATTGTTTTTTAATGACGCACTCACTAACGTCGCTGAGCCTTAGTTGTAGATTGTTAATGCTGTTTCTTCGTTGTAGATTGCTGATTTGGTTGCTTGCCATCTTTTTTTTTTTTTTAAAAAAAAAAAATTAGTTATAGCAATAGTAACAGAATTAGTATAAATTGCTGTAAATTGTTATAATAGTGTATGCCCCTACATTGTTATTTTTCATATCTTTACCGTTGGACATGTTTCAAACGATTATTAAATAATGAAACTTTTAAAAATTTCTGATAAAATGACTAATGTCGCAGAAATATACGCAGCTTGCTAGTCTAAAAACATCACTTTATAGAATGATCCAGCCAATCTTTTCCTTTTATGAGTGACACCGGGAAAATAGATTGAGAAATCCAATGACGTATGTTATACCGTCGGAATAGTACGTACGTATATACGTACGTAATGTTAACATTCGAGATCTTTCCATTGTGAATAAACATTCACTCGTGAAATTCTACTTACTTGAAAGTATCACAATATTCCCGTGATCCGCCGCGATCAAATGAAAGACTCCACCAAATTTTGTGCTAAATAATAGATAAATGAGTAAATCTAGCATAATTTGGAATATTATTATGTGACCGCAATTGTCTTCACCTTTAATCAAGTATATTTATTCAACAACCATTGTTCTCACCTCTAACCAAGTATACATATGTTATTACTATATGTTTTTAGTGTGAATTACATAAGTATTTGGGACGATAGTAATTCGCTCACAACAACAAAGCATGTCGTACGAATCGGGTACTCCTTTTTTAGAAGGCATGATAATATGCGCAGTTAAGACTCTGGTTAACCATTTTCTGAATCATGTACTTGGGAAACGAGAACTTTGAAAATTTATCTTTGAAACCTATTGAAACAGATCAGTACAATTCTAGTGAAGACATGATTGGTATTAATAATTTTCTTTGACTTATATGATCACTTTCAATAAAACTTTTATAAAATCTTTGGAAAAAAAAACTTTACTACGATAATAGGCTCTTCTCAGATTAGGCAGCGTCGTCCGGTTGCTAATAACGCTTCATCATCTCATCCGCCTTTAGATAAGAATCCTTTTGGTCGAAAATTTTTACTAGTAACTACAATTTTGCTGGTATTGATTTTTTTTAATTGGATTGATTCTTTCATCCGTTCAGGTAAGAACGGATTTAATTGATTCTTCTTCCTTAAATAAAATAATTGATTCTAAAAAATAAATTCTTTATTATTAGGTATTATTTAATAATAAAGCTTCTCAACCCAATGACCGTTTTCAACCTAATGACGGTTCTCAACTTAATGACGGTTCTCAACCTAATAATGGTTTTCAATCCAATCAACGATTTAAATCTATTCACTGTTTTCATCCTAATGATGGTGTTGCTTCTATTGTAAAGATGGCTAATCTTAGTTCTGAAAAATTTTCTTTGCTTAATATTCCAGGTACTGTATCTATTCATTTCTTAAGTTAATCAATTTTTTTTTTTAAATTTATATAATTATAATTGACTAGTTCATTTATCTTTTAGCAACAGATGAATTAAATGAACTTCGTTTCGCTGTTCGTAATCTTAAAGTGACAATGGAAAAAAGTCGTGTCATAGTTGAACATTCTAAACCAATTTCGACCGTTCTCGATGATTTGGATAAAAATATTCATGACACGGTTGATGAACTCAGGAAATTTCAGCATAAAGCTGAATGGTTCTTTTGGCTTCTTGTAGATGAATTGAGAATGATCACTCAAGAATACGAAAAACTTCACTCTTCTGAATATGATCCAAATTTATCAGATAATATTGCCTCCTTTATTCATAAACGCCTCGAGTCATTAGAGACTCAGATAAGTGGCTTTCATGAACAATTCCAACGAGTTAGTTACGCGGTTCATTATGTTCAAAAAGATGCAATGCGTACACGAGAGCACTTAATTGAAGCTAAACGTGAGGCCGAGAATGCTTTAAAAGATCAGTGGCTAGTTAAATTGATTAGCCAATGGATTAATATCACTGATCCTAAGATACATGAAATGGAGGAAGAACTTGATCAAGTAAATTTTATCAAAAAGTTGCTAGAAGATTTTGACCGCAATTTTATTGATTTCGGTGACTTTTTAATAAAGTATCGTCTCAAAATTCGTGAAGTTATTGTACAAGCTGATGGTATTCCCACAAAACCGACTGCCGAATACATAAGTTACTTGAAAAAAGCTGCTCAAGACCTTGAAAAGCAACATCTCAAACTTTTTAGTAAAGAATCAATTGGACATGATTCCAAATAATGTTCAAATACAGTATGGTTAATTCAGGATTGCCTGTAACTTGACCGAAACCTGTCTATAGTCGTTTTAAGTTTTTTTTTTTTTACTCTTAAATTAGCGTTAGATTAGGGAATGTGATCCATTACAAAACCCAAAGTAATTAGTCAAATAAAGTCATTAAATAAATAATATTGTATATAGGCAAAAACTTATTCGAATTCAGTAAGATTTACAATTGATCAGAAGTCTGCTACGATAAAATATTTATTGGTAGAATGTTTCTACCAATTATTCATGAAAACATAACGTAAAATAAGTTTATTAATTGAATTATCAAGACTATTATTATGAATATGCTACTCTAGTCCTCATCGCTATAGTCGACTTTAGTGATTAATCGCATAAATTCACATTCACGTGCACAGTATTTTTCGAGATCAGGTGATCATAATCACATATCATAATCACATGAAGCAATAAGTTTGCTTTAGCCTTTTGTGTACTATGTGGCTTTGCATCTTACGAACGCATCGGATAAAATATAAATGTCAATCGATTATGAATGACATTCGTATAGTGGCATGTGAAAAAATTTAGTTCCGAAGTCAGTCTAACCTTTAAAAAAGTAATGATGTATATCGATTCAATGATGGCACACTTTTATTCGGAATTTGTCGAATATTGGAATTTTGAAACAAATCTGACAGTAACGTCTCGTGAATTCAACCTAAACCAGTGTCATCAATAGTAATTAAGCGAAGTCACATGATTTTCCAACCTATACCGGATCTGACTTAACTCTAATATTAACTGAGACTTTTTCATTCAACGTTAATTTTTCATTTGTAAATTAATTCATGCTTCATGATTAAGTAATTTAGCAGTCAAGGACAAAAAATTTGCGTATTTGTCATATTTATTAACAATAGTAACCGTTTCTGTTAAAAAAAAGAGCTCAAGAATAAGGGAATTCAAAAAACTCTAAAATTTGAAGTTTCTTCGGGGCTTTAGGTCGGACAATCAAGTTATTGTTGACTTCAAATATCGATCAAATCACGAGATCGTTTCTACGACTGCGCCACATCACACAAAGTTATAACGCTGTGGGCAAAAATAATCCCACATCTAAAACTTGGCTTATAACCCAGAAACTTACTAATTAAATTATATTGATTTTTATATAAATCCTTATTTCTTGATAATTTTGTCATGTTATTTTTAGATCATATACTTGTATAATTAGCAAGTTATTTGATTTTATTTTTAGGAGTTTGATAAATTTAGTAAGTGTATAAATTTTTTAATAATATTGATTCAAATTGATGAATTTTAATATATTATAGCAGAAGATATCCTTTATAAGATATTAAAATTTGATAAAGTTTTGATTAATAGTTGATTTAAAAAATTAACAATGTCAAAAATTTCAAGTTTCAACTTTATTAATTTTTCTAAATTATTAATTTAATATAAGTAAGTCTTTTTTATTTAATAGTGATAGAATTTTTTTATAAAATAAAAATATTAGAATCTAATTACTAGTTATTAAGATAATTAAGAGTTACAAAAAGACAAGTAGTTATTTTATATTAAAAAAAATTAATTAGATTATTTAAATAAAATTCATAATTTTTATTATTTATTTTTAAAGATAAATAATTTTTGAACTATTAATTTATTTTAAACAATTTTATTGTAAAAAAAAACTTCTCTTAGCCAAAAAATTTTAGCAAAACTTGTTTTTTCAAAATCTGATTATCAAATTGTAATTTTTATTTTTTTAAAATAAAAGTCAAAGTAAAATATTTAGAACTTTCAACACAAATACATTATCAATCAATTTATTAATTAATTCTTGATGATTCTTTGTACCAAAATTCACAACTAAACTTTTCTGATAAAATAATAATAAACTATAGTTGAAGAGTGAAAAAACATAAGCCTGAGCAAAACTGTAAACTGGCACCTGTTATTTGGAGATAGTTCACATACACTACTTGCTAACAGGTTTAGAGTTTATTACTCATTGTGGGATTGGCACTTGTTATTTAGAGGTAGTTTTTATATGCTATCTGCTAATAAGTTTAGGGTTTATTACATACTGATTAAAAAGCCAGCAGTATGTATATCTTTTTATCTTTTGTTATTTTTACAAAAAAATATGTTTTTTTTCAAGAAGAGAACAATGTCTATTCTTCTTACTATTACTCATTTGTATTTCTACCAAAATTTGTAAAAAGTAAATGAAACAGCTTATTCTTGTCAGAATATTAGCTTTGTTTACTTCTTTTTTTTTCAGATAATAACACAATAGATTACAACTACATGTTTTTAGTAAACATATTGCTATATCACATGATAGAACAGGTCCTCAAAAAATAAGCTATTCAAAACTAGTCTGATAGTTAGAAGAATAAACTAAAGGTTAAGGCATAGCTTTACAATAGAGCTATATTAAATATTGTAGTTAATATGTAATTTTTTTTAGTCTTGCATAGGTTATAATAGTACAGTCAGACCTCGATATAATCACCAGGTTGGGAAACAAAATTTTGGTGATTATAAAAAGTTGTGACTATATAAA